TAGGATCCTTGGAGTTGAATTACGAAACATAGCACTCTACTCGGCTAGACTTAGAATCCAAAGCCACTTTCTCCGTATGACCCAACAGACTCATCACCCACAATGTATAATCAGGGGCTCATTATCTCAGCCTATCATAGTCAAACCAATGTACGACTCTGAATCCCCAAGTATAAGTGGATTTCTGGTGCACCCCCTAGAGGACATGTACACATATGGTGTAGGGGTTCCTATCTGGGCACATGTGCATAGCTCTAACCAATTGATCCTTGGAAGAGTGGCTTCCCATGCCTTATGACTATATGTGCACATGCTACGAGAAGGTTCTAGCAGCCAGGGATTTAGGCCAATGTCCTCTATTGGCCCTAACCTTCCTGTACAAGGTTTTTCGCATCAATCTCATGCACAAATCGTATTGTCTTGACCCATCACTCAGTCATGAGGCATAAACATAACAACCGACCCTGACTAAGAGGTAATAACCCTCTGCCCTTTCGGTACCTCCCATGTATATAAATCCTCCTCATGAATTAATCAGGGTCCCATGACTCTTGGTTCCAATGCGCCAAGATCCTAGATCCACATCGCTATTTTACTTCCACTGAGGTCATGAGCCGTTGAAAATATCAGAATTTAAGGCCTTGAAGGGACAATTCCAGCACTCAATGGACATGGTGGACAAACTAAAGCTGAACATTGAGAAAATTTAGAAGCACTTGAGGTCCTACATGATTTCTTGGATTAATAAGGGTAATGAGGTCCTTATTTCTACCTGTTATGTTGTTCCTTTCTCAGTTGATAGAATTTATTCAGATATGGGTTTTTGCGACATAGTTTCTATGGAAGCATGTCATATTTTGCTTTAGTGAACATGGCTATTTGACAATAAAACTATGCATAACTGAGCTAAGAATACTGTCTTGTTTTGGAAGGACAATGTGAAGGTGATAAGAGGATAATCTACCCAATGGCAAGATGGAGAGTATGCCTACCCTCCTTACTTTACAAAATCTTATAAAGGAGCAAACTGGTATGACTTGGTCATAAAATGATGAAAATGCGCTATGCAATTTCCCTGGTTTATATATACATTTTTAAGGGAGTTTGGTATGTGACCAATGAAAGAAATTCAGCATCACATAGACCTTGTCCCAAGTTCAAGCTTACCTAATTTTCCCATTACCGCATTAGCCCAAAAGAACATGAGCAGCAACATTGGCAAGTGGCAGAGTTGTTAAAGCCTTCACGCCTATATATGTATATTTATCGTACTACATGTTAGGGAGCCTTTTACTCACCTCTGTCACATTTTGCAAGTTTTGAGGCAAGATGAGTCCTATCTGAACCTCAAAAGGTGCACTTCTGTGATAGATAACCTTGTTTGTCCGGGTTTTATGCTGTTCAATGAAGGTGTACAAGTTGATCATAGCAAGGTGGATGCAATTGTGAACTGGCCGCCGCCAACCTATTTTGGATATTAGTTGCTTCCTTGTCTTGGTGTCTTTATATAGGAGGTTTATCAAGTGTGGTTATTGCACACATAACCTGTTGTATGAAGAAAAGTTTCTGATGGACTTGGGAAGCAAATGTAATCTACCACCTTGTAAGAGACAAGTGGACTGAAATGTCAGTGCTAGAATTACCCGATTTTGTGAAAGAATCTGAGGTGGATTGTGATGCCTCATATATCAGGATAGTTGCTGTTCTAAGCCTAGAGGGGCACCCTGGTGCATTTTTTTAATGAAAAATTGAATGATGCAAGGACCTGTTATTCCATTTGTTGATGTAGAAAAGAACAAGAAAATTTTGTTAACATTTTTTGGACTGTGTTTTCTCTTTACTTTTTTTGGGTAAGACAGGTATTTTGGGTATTTTCTTTGTAATGGACTTTCTGGAACTTATAGAAAAACTAGGAGGTTTTCATAGACTATCTGGGAATGGGGAAAGTTAGGAGGAGCAGGTTAGAGTTTGAATTCAAATTTTACTTGGGAAGAGATACTGGGCATGCCTTGGGAAGGGATACAATCTGTTAATGCTCCTAGGAAACTCAAGAAAACTTTAGCTTGGGAGCCAAGCCAAGTCTATAAACAGAGGATGATTTTTCTCTTCTTAGAATTGAATTTTTTTTGGTATAAATTTTAGAAACCAAGAACTTGGTTCTCATTTTGGGTGGTCCTTCGATCGTCATGCAAGTCATTGAAAGCTAGGCTCTATTAACTTCAGCCTATTGTCTTTGAATCACTGTTGAAATCCCTATGTTTCTACCCTCTTGTGAACTGTTGCTGTCTCCTTTCTCTCTGTCTACATCAAGTGGTATCAGAGCAGGAATCCTCTCTTTTGGACCGATAGTTATGGTAAATACAGGAGGACATGGAGGCCAAGGAGGTGGTACTAGATGAGTTGTTCTTTTCACCTTACATCATTTCCACTTGGTGTTCTAGAAAGCAAGATGAGATCCTCCTTTTCATAATTTGTGATTGTAGATATATTGTGTTGGAAGCAAGATATGGTTTCAAAATTTTCCCCATTATAATGGAAACTTGTTTTGCTTCCATTATAAATAAGTTTGCCTTGCAGGTTGGGCCCTTTGCTATAGTCATATCCTTGGTGTTTCATTGCCGAATAATGCTGACGCAGACATATAGATTACAAATTTGATTATGTAATAACATGCACAAAAGCAGAAATTGGTTGAGGGGTTTTTGTTATCTGATCAACTCGATGCCATCAATAACCATATTGAGGGATTTTCGAATGTGATTACGTTTTTTTTTCAGTGGTTTTTCTGTGGATTTCTTCTAGGTTGTATATATAATATATGACATGTTGAAGTGGCAGATATGTGCATCTATTGTTTCAGACCACTTTGCCTTGCTGCTTCTCACCTTTATCCATATGTCATCACCATCTCCCCACCATTTGAAAGCAAATATTTCTGCTTTTTCTTTTGCGAGGATTTATGAGGTTTCTACTGTGTTTCCTCTCATTGCATATTTCTTTTGTTATTTCCAAGGTTTATTGAGACCCTCTTTGCTTTCATATAACTCTTTTAGGATGAAACTTTTCCTATTCGATTTGATGCATAAGGGCATGACAATATTCAATATAAGAACCTTTTTTTAATATTATATCTGTCAAATTGTACTTAAAGGATAACTTGGCATGGGAACATTCAGTGACTTTTTTGGATCCATTATTACAAATGGACCCTGTTGATGCCCCTTTCGAAGTTTGTCGCGAGGCATCGTGAGTATGATGCATGGAAGGCATCTGATTCATTTAATATGCTAATGGCCTCATGAGGTGGCATATTGTATCTATTTTTCAGGTAAAAAAAAATAATACTCGAATGTGATATACGGTGTATGATGAATACAGCTCTCTAGAACATAGTTTTTGGAATTAAGAGCATGATCAAAAGCCATTTAGGAATTGGAAGTGAGGGACTGCAAAAGGCTAGAAAGTCCCTATGGTAGGAAGTGTTGTCTGTACAATAAACAACCTTTTTGGATCACAAAAGAAATGAAGGCTACACTATTTAATTTTAAATTTCCACTAAGATCCAGTGTTTGCAAAATCGAATTGGAACGGCTAACCGGACATGGGGCCAGAAGCGGTTTAACCAGCCTAACTGGTAAACCGGCCAATTCAACCGTTCTAATCGAGCAAGTCCTGAGCAGCCAAAAAATTGTTGAAAAAAATAAAAAAGTTGCAAAAAAAATGTACTAAAATATGAAAAGCATATAAAGAATGATTAAAACAAAATACATTCAAATGAAGTTGAAAATTAATGGAAAAATGGATTTTAAAAGTGAGTAATAATTACCAAAACAAATTTTAATATTTACCATAATGTAAAAAATATTAAAAAATGCATTACAAATCAAATTCCTTATTTTTGGGATTTTATAGACATTTTTTTGAATTTTTATTTTTAAATTACCAGCCGATCACCAAAACGGCCCGAAACCGGAACCGGCATGGGGCCGGTTTCGATCTAACAGGGCTGTTACTGGTTAGATCGGGTGGTTTTTCAAACAATGGATTAAATAGTGTAATCTTAAGAAGTAGAACTATTTGAAGACTAGTGTTAGATTTATGTCAAAATTTGGGATTGCTCCTAACCTTTTGAAATCTCGATACGTAGCAGCTAGATCGAGATACAAAAATTTAAAAATCAAGACCCCTTGGAGATCCCTCTGCCGGAGCCCTTGAGTGAGATTCTAGGGCGATCACCACTTGATTTGGGTGATCCCGGTAGCTATGCTCTAGACTGGAAATGTAATGCAGAGACCTTATACGAAATTCACGCATAGACCTTCAAATTTTAAGTATTGGTATGACTGGTCTCATTTTTCAATTGTTGCAATATTCGACGTTCCTTGGTTCCTTGAATGCCAAACTGCCATGCTTAGGACTAAAGAGTATTGATAATATTGTCTCATGGGAAAAGTTTATATAGAGCCGAGGCTCTAAACCATCCAATTAGAGCCTACCTAAAAAGTTTCATTAAAAGAGGTTGTTTTTATTCCCAAGTATCCTCAAATTGATCATCTCGACATCAAGATGCATGGACATGAGAAAAAAATGGATTTCAAGTTTTGGAAATAGTGTATTTTGTAATGTATTTTTGAACTGTCAATTTTCAAGATTTTCAAGTTTTCATAGATCTGTTGATCCACACTATTTTTTAAGCTTTAAACTTTATAAATAAAGATGAAAATATATGTTTAAGACTTATCACAAAGATTTCCAATATTGAAACCACATTTCTCGACACTATTTGAGGGTAGGCTCTAATTTGATTGTTTAGAGCCTAGGCTCTATACAAACTGCACCCTTTTCTCATTTATGACTTTTTGTAATTGACGTAGGGATGGTTATGCTGTTCTTTCGACATATTAACTGATTTTTTTCCGACATGTTAACTGATTTTTTTTTTTTAAACTCTAGTTCATTATGTTATCCTTTCTTTAATGGACATATGTAATTTACTGCAGGAATTCTGCTTTCTCTGCACCTATGCTAGATCTTAGCAATCCGTTGGAGTGGCTGGTAAGGAGGGTACAACAGCGGATATTATTGTGCACTCAAAGACGATTATTTTTGAAAGATTTGAATACATCAAGGTCTGGAGTCCAATTTATTCTTCACAGAGGTGTAGCTTGTTTTCCATATAATATTTTCCTACGTGCCTTATTTGTTAAATAATCCTTGATACGGGCATCTTAAACCTTATTATTGAGCTCATGCGCAAACATCCTTTGAGTTTCTAGGCAGTGCTTGTTGGGTTCTCCATGTCCCTCTGATGGAGTTGTAATTAGGATAACAATCAATAAGCATGAATACTCTTATGATGCCTTGCATCTGACTCATGGTACCATTGCAATCATTTGACCTGCTGGGATATGCTCAACTTTGGAAGATTATGCAGGTGTAATGGGTGTCCCCTAGCTTTTATTAACTTATGGTCAGCTCAGGAGTTATGAAGATATCATATTCATTATTCATAAAATAATCTCTTGTAAATATATGTATTGTTTACATTGTTTTGCCTTTGTAATTATTAAAGTTAAATTCATAGTTACTAGTTTCACATCATGCTACTTTGAATATTATATTAGGTGTTGGTTGGTTGTGCAATGTGTCAATACTGTATAATATACAGTTTTGTAATTGCGAGATCATCCTTGCACTCCTAATTTGTACTTGCTTTTTGTGTGGATAGAAATCATTTCCCCATTGGGCTGTAAACTATGTTTACTAATTGGGACATGATCTTTCATTAGTGAAATGCTGATGCACTTTCCCATATGGAAGAATTTTCGAAACCAAGGAGATCTCATACCATACTTTATGCATTAGGTGTTAGACATAGGAATTCATGTGTGTACGTCTTTTTAGGACATTATTTCTGTTTACCCACTTGTAAATCATTCCCCATGTGGGAATATAGTTATTTCATTTTGTCTCCCAGCATAACAACATGGTACAAGTTCAGCCATGTTGGGCATCTCTGACTTGTGAAGGCCAAGACAGTATTGAGCAAGAAATGAAAACCCTAACATTTATTGGGATTCTCTCCTCTTCACTTCTACTACTACATCCGCATGCTCCCAGATGCTCCATATCTAAAGTTCATTGGCAAAAAATGTGGAGACACACGTCCACGTTAGAAGCAAGAGGATGACCGGTGGTAGAGTTTCTTTTGACCCGAGAATTTGAAGAACAAAAGCATGGTTCAAAGATCCATTAAAATGCACCTTAAAGGATGCAAAATAGAAATATTAAATAATAGCTAGAGTGCTAGACTGTAAAATAATATTATAATGCCTTATAAAATAGTGGAAAACAGAAATATAACAGATATTGGGTGTTGAATATATTGTTTAATTAAATATGCCTACTTATTTTAAAAATTAATATTTGTATAAAAGATACAGATGACACTGTCTTTAAAAGGGACGTGATGTGAGTATAACAGATGCAACATTTTTTTAAATATCTTGTGTCACCTATTTTGCACTTTGTCACTTTCTCCTATTGTAGGTACTTGTTTCGATACTTAGACAAGGAAGACATAATTACTGCTCAATTGATGGGAAACATTCACGCATATATCAAGGTTCCTCAGAACTGGCCCTTATCAAGTTGTTCTCTGAAGTTAATCTCAATCAAGTTTTCAGATTCACACTCACTGGAAAATTCATTGGGATTTCTTTGCAGAGTTGAGGTGAGTTCCAATGTCTGATGGTTAATCATTGAAGACGATTTCTTGTTGAGGCTAATAACACTATATGCTGATCTAACATTATTTAGGCGACAAATGACTGAATTTATGTGAATGTTGAGAGCATCCTTTCCAATTTCGAAGATTTTTTCTTATTATATCTCAGTAGCAGTTTATAAAACTGGTAGAAGACAGGTCCCCAGATATGTTTGAAACTTAATTTTAAGCACCTTTCACAAAATCTATCCCATGTTACTTTCCAATACGTCAAAGCAAAGTGAATAAACTTTGTTTACTTACAAAAAATATTAAGAGTTTCCATTTTTTTCATTAATTGGACAATATACTTTCAATACTACCAAATATTCCCAGTTTTTCTGGGTGTGCTTTACTTTTATGCATTGATTGAATTATAGGTTATTTTATATCAATATAGCATTTTGATTTGATGTTCTAAACCAATATTTTTAAAAACGGATTGGTAGGGTGGATCGTCCGCCCAGCGATTGCGAAGCGGATTGACCAAATTGGCAATCCGGAAAAGAAAAAAAAAAAAAAAAAACGGAAAAAAAGAAGAAATAAAACAAGAAAATGATAAATAAAGTAAGTATAGAAATTATAACCTATATTTGGAGCAGCTTAGTTGGCTAAACCTTGTGGCTGTGGTTCATAGTTCAAACCCTTTCTTTTGCCCTTTTTTATATACATATGCATTAAATTATTCTCACACTTTAAAAAAAATAAAAATAAATTCAGGGACTTTGAATTTCAGACTTTGTGGCTGTAATCCAGTGTTTTCAACAGAAAACTCAATACTTCCCAATGTTCTATCTTGATAATCTTTTCTTTAACTAATTGGCTGGTTTTCTGTCTTATTTGTTGTGGAACTGTGAAGGGAAATTATCTCAGGTTATTTTGGAAACCTCATTTTATTTAGTCTTGACCAGGAAACCCGTTAAAGTTAAAAGTCTTAAGAGGTCTTTTGACTTTCTTTTGTGCATGTTCTTGCATTGGATAATCCTTCACAATGGCGAATTGGGATCATGGTCTCAAAAGTTATGACCAATTTTTGATTTCTGTCATTGTCCATGTATGTGCAAGAGCACATGTTGACACAGGACATGGATTCAAACTCATAAATATTGCTGTTTAGAGAGATTTGTTTTATTCATGGTGTCCATATTTCCTGATAAGATTTTACCATCCTAATGTTAGGAATTGGCAAACTCCTTGGATGTTGAAAGGAGGAATCACCTTTTACGCTTTGTGGAGGCTATTGAAGAGATTCTCAAGCAACAAATGTGTATGGAGTTTAAATCTAATCATAGTACTGGGTCATAAACTGCTGGGATGTCAAGCCAAGACCTCTGGTAGTTGTGTCATCATACCATATTCCTTTCATGGTACAATGCATTGGCATTCATGTGTGTGTGTGTGTTTGTATGTGTCTCTGTTCGTGTTTGGGTGTGTCTGTGTGTGCGTGAGAGAGAGAGAGAGAGAGAGAGAGAGAGAGAGAGTACAACGTACGTTAGGATAGTAAGAAATGTCTCGTGTACGTTTAGTTTTGGTTAGGTTAAGTTGGTAGGTAGTAGGAAGGGAGGTCGTAGTAGTCGACAGTAGTA